CACCGTGCAGTCCTGAGTTGAGCACAGCAGAACTCTGATACGCGGTTTCCCCTCGTCAACCTCTTTTGAAAGCCCAGATGCAACCACGGGACGCACATCCCTCCCCGGTTGCCGCGCCCATTTGAGGCAGCACGACTTGTGTAGCCGAAGCAAATGCTCAATCCAACACGAACACGAGCACACACTTGTTCGGACCGCCTTGTATTGCTGGGCCAACGTCATCAACTCAAAACAGCCTTTTACCTCGCTTTCCCACTTCGAATGGCAAAGAAAAATCTTGGAACTTCAACAGATTCGTTTCCCTTAAGGTGAGCAGTTGCTGATTCACAACTCCCGAATCTGTAACAAAATCTGCACCTACACATGCCATGCGCCCAAGGCAGTAGGGCCAACTGTCCCATAAAGTGGCTGGCGCTGCGCCTTGGTTCCAGGGCGCCAAAAGGCCGTCAGCGACTCTCAAAGTCGACTGATGCAAACGAATTGGTACTGTGATTGTGCCTGTCAAAAGTAGCACTTGTAGCATTTCAGGCAGGAGCTAAAATCAAGCCTTTTGCTCCTCAGACCAATAGATCGCCCTGTGCACTCAACCGCCGGGAGGAGTGCAACCTCACAGAGCATCCGGTCTTGGGGTATGTGCCATGGACATTGCCCTTCAGATAGCAGAAGGACTGAAAGTAGGAGAAGCCTTCACATCCGTGTTGAGATTGGCATGCTGTGCAGCAGACCGAAGAGTCTGGTGCATACATGGCTTTGATGAGTGTTCCACTTAAGTCCAGGCCCTGCAGGGGAGCATCGAAGCCGCTACAAGTGCCGTGGACTTTCCGGACACGGGCTTGGCAACCCGCTTTGAAGTAGCTGCCCTCGAGGTTCGACTTCAAGTAGCACGTCTGCTTGAAGAAAGCAAATCCCGCGCACCCAGCCGTCTCGTCACAAGCACCTGTAGCGGGTCGAGCTTACACAGCCCCTGTCATGCAGCATGTACAAAGCGCACAAAACAGAAACGGTTCGAGCCCGTCCGTGTGCATATATTTCCAAACAAAACACGCACTACAATGGTCCAATCACGAGCGAGAAACTGAAATGACATCGAGCGTCATGAACTGTTCTTGGTTCGGATGGGCTCTTCGAATGACTGGAGCCGCACATTCCCGGCACGAGCATGCAAGCTCTGCCGTTGTGCTGTAGTGGCTCACACAGTTAAACCGAGAAGGACAAACAAGAGTGACGCACGCACTTGCGCAATCCTCCCTCTGACTTGATATTGCTTCGTGCTGACTCCGAGTCTCAGAGGTCAAGATCTGCAGCCACATAAGCAGTTAAACGTCTGACGAATCACTACTTGCAGCATCACAAACGACGACTTGCCAGGTTCTTGGCTTAGCCTGGCTTCAATAATCATTGCAGGTACGCTGGGATGATCAGTCCCAGTATCCTGAGGTCACCATACAGAGCTTCGTTGGGCAGAGTCATGGGCCTCCCCCCTTTCTGCTGTTTACAAAAACCATATGCTTCTCCGCAGACACATCTGGAGACCAGCGATTCAAAGGAACTCATGGGCACCAAGACTGCCTTCGACAATGGTGTGCTGCTGCCTCAAAGTCCCTTCTTCTGACAAAGTCGTGGCTTGTGTGCAGGGCTGTGGGCTTAGGGTTCGAAAGTCGCAGTTTCAGGTGCGTGGTGTGCATGTGTATGGTCGGGAAAACAGTTCAGCTCGTGTTCGCCGTGTTCGGGCTCAGCTGGTTGAAAGAAGCATCGTGGCCAGATTCCTGAATTTTCATCTTATCAATTCTCTTCAGTCCGGACACGTCATGTCATTGAGATGTTGCGAAGCGTCTACCGGATCAGGGCACGGCGTTGAAGCTTCCTCGACTTGCCTCGCTTCGGCCTTCGGCCTGTGTTTTCTGGCCTTGGGTTTTCGCATCGACTGTCGAAGAATGGTGTTGCCTGTTGCTCCCTTTCCCTGCCTATGTTCGCTGATGGAATGCCTTTGTTAGCGACGTCGCAAGACGGAAAGAGAATGGGTCACTTTGCAACATTTTCCAACGCCTTTGCCCACATCCAAAAAGTCTATCCTGGCGGTGAAACCCTTATTAACCCTGAACCGGTTGCGTTGCTTGCACGATGCCTATGGACGGAAGGGCGTGAAAGACGGAGGCGACTGGGTTTTCTGTGAGCTTCGCTGGCTTCTAGTACAAGCAAAGAAAGGACGCAATCTTTTCGTATTACTTTGAAACCTTCCGCACCCAGGTTCTCTTCCGCCCCGGCTTGTTGTAGCGCGACTTTGGCATGGTTGTTCAACTTGTGAAGCGAATGCCTGTTCAACTTCTGTTACCGGTTGTCGCACACTGTGGTTCCATGTCTCTCCATCGCAGTCCTGCACCGCTCCAAACCATCCCAAATAGACTCCATTCTGTTCCATTTGCTGACGGGTCACTGCAGCAGACGTCTGCACTGGCCGCTGCAAACTTGAGTAACATCTTGCCGGCCAGGTCTCGCTCCTCCTCCAGGGGATCTGCAGAGCTCTGAAGCACATGCCATCACGGGGAAGGCTATCTTCCCGCACTCAGTTTGGCAGGCTTTGTAGAACACGCTCCCAGAAACTACTTCTCAGCTTGTCTTCCAAAAACATGTCAGGACTCTGAGGACCGTCAAAAGTCCGACGGGCCTCCACCGCATATGCTCCACATTGTGGCTGCAGCCTTTGCGCAAGCGTGCAGTGACGATTGAAAGGCTTCTAGCCAAGGCGAGGCGAACGACAGCTGCCAACAGCAGCAGGGGAAGGAGGGAGCGACAAATTATGGCAGCTATAATTGACTTTTTGGACCCCTGTGAATTCTTGTTTGTGGGCGCCCTCTTTCGACTGGTGGCTGTCACCGCTCTCTGCCCTGGATAAGGCTGACGATCATCATCGAGCTTTCTCTCCCAAATGTATGTCATTCTTGCAGTCTCGGTCGAAAGATGGTGAAAGCAAGATCGGGCTTATCGTGACATTACAGCCAAAACCTGGCTAGAGGTTGCCCGCACCGGAAGCGGCACAGCTTCACATAACTGACGAGCACTGGAAAAGAAGATCGAGGTAAATTATCTTATGTACCAGTGCAAGCGGCAGGCCTCACGAAAGTCTTTGCACGGAAAAAGTGGCTACATTCACCTTCCCAGTTGAGCTTAGGAGCTTGGAGGTCGTGGGTGGTTCTGTCGCGGCTGGCTGTGTCGTGTACAGTTGCTCTGAAGTTGTCTCCGGCTCCGGTGCGGAGGTTTCCACGATCTCGACCGTTGATGTTGATGCAGTTGTATCTGGAGCAGTCGTCACAGCTGTGGTGGTGACTGCGACCTCCGTTGTTCCAGCTGTAGTTGTTGTCGATGGCGCAGCAGTTGTTGTTGTCGATGGCGCAGCAGTGCTCTGGACAACCTCTTCAGTTGTCGCGGTCTCTGTTGAAGTGGTTCGCGTAACAATCTCCGTGCATTCACCGCATGCAAGCTTACAGTGCACCAGCATATACCTCGGGTTCCTCTGACACCAACCATCGACTGCCCATCGTGAACACCAGTTGATCCTGCCGCTGAGGGAGACTTATCGTCGGGTGGACACCACCAAACTCTTGCACTAAACACAAGGAACAATTGTGTATGTGCGTACTGGGCACCGATTGAAGCACGGGTTACCCCCCGTCTCTTCGATGGCACCGGCGAAGTACATCATCAGAACCACCGCGATCACCGACAGCTGGCAGCTCATCTTTGGAAACCGCAGTGGGGATCAGCGCAACTAATTTCACCCAGCTCTCGAACCTAATGGCTGACAACTCTTGTCTTTGGCTGCGAAAGTTGTGGGCTTGGCGACGACACATTTGCTGACCCGAGCCGGTGTAGCACTGCGTCAATCTAAAGTATCTACTTCTACGAAGGTGAAACGTTGCTGCAGCTCACTTGGCAAGTCTGAAATGTTCTTGATAAACACCTGGCAAGCTTAGTCAATTTACGGTATACAATTGCACGCTGACCAAGACTCCGGGATGCGCTAATCAATACCAGATGGCCCGAGCTACACCTGCAGTATCCTGCATGTGCACTGCAATGTGGCAGCCAACGACATGCCTACTGGCAGCGAACAGCACTTGCTAATACTTCTAAAAATTTGCGTGAGTTAGCCAAAGGTTACAGAAATCAAACACCACCTAGATGGGCCTTTGAAGACCTTCCGAGATCGTAGCCCTCGCGCTTGCCTGCACAGCACTCGCAAGCGTGGCAAACTGTTCAACCCATCGCACTGACACATGCATCCTCAATCATCCTCAGCTACCTCGACATCCGGCCCATGCTGGGCTGCGATTCTTTGACGATGCCTGGTGGAAGCTCTTCCACTGGAGCATTCTGAAAGCCGCGCTCCACAAACCACTGCCTTGCATCCGTAATCGCAACAGGCACGGCAACAATGCAACCTCAAGATTTGAACTTCCAAACACAAACCTGTGCTTCTCTAACGATGCAAAGCTGTAATCGTGTGAGTGCGAACTTGTGTGAGCGTCTCTGTGTGGAGCGACTGGCACAGAAACCTCTGCCATGGACAGTTACGAGCCCGAGTGGCATTGTTTGCGTGGTCAGGAGGAACAGCTGCTGCCTCAGCTTCGCTGTACAGCGACTGACGCCTCGGGTACAGTGCGTGCAATGCAGGGTCACGTTTACGCATAAGGAGCCGGCACGCCGAGCAGCCTAGCGACCTGTTCAACGTATGAGAGGAGCACAGCGCCGTGGCCTGCCGTGATGCAAGACAGTGCGAGACTCGTCTCGAACCTGGTCAACATCGATACTGAGGACACTGCTAGCGGCACACCAACGCTACGTAGCTAGAGAGTGGCAGAAGCACTGGGGTAATCGAGATCGATCTAGCTGAAAAGCTAGCAGCTAGCATTGGCATTGACGTCATGCTTGCGTAGGCATGCATGCAGGGAGTAAGTCTCGTTTTTTCATGTGATCTGAGTACAGCTCAAGGCAGAGGAATGCAAGAAGGGTCTTGGATGCCAGCGTTGAAGTTGTCTCAAGACTATTCATGTCTCCACCTTCATATTTGCATCAAAATGACCCTCCTGGCAGCTCCAGATGCTAAGGTACTATGCAAGGACCATGGTGTGCTGACAAGCAGACACACGGTCTTTTGAATATTTCTGAGTTCTGGCCGTAGAATGGCCTATCGACCTGGCCCAAATCCTTTCGAACATTGGGGTGGCCGGCAGCAGCTGCAACGAATTTCGGAAGCTTTCTTCCCTACCGACAATCAGCTGCGCTCCACAATGTCCTGAGCTTTGGACTGCTGAAGTCTGGGACAATGCCAGTCCAAGTGGGCTTCAAATGGGCCCAATGGGATCAACATGCAAGTTCCAATGACTTGTGACCCTACTAGTTTCATTCCCACGGGCCCCGATCGAGTCCGAGCTGACACAACGGAAATGGGGGCACATGCTCTGCCTGTGGAGGCTTGAGTATGCGATTTCCAAGCTTCCAACTGCTCTGCAAGTACAGACTGGTATTGAGCATTCTCAACTCCGAAACGGTCTTAAACAGAGCAATATATCGGGTACTCTTTCTGGTCTATGTGTTTGTAGTTCCTGGGGGTCTTAGGATGGCAAAGGAGATCGCTTTCACACGCATGACTGCTGCTATCCGCGGTAGCAAGGTTCGCCCACATTCAGCAAGCTCTGACTGCAGCTGAGGCCAACTATTACACCACATATGAACACAACAAAAATAAAAACAAACAAATAATTTTGTGTATATACATGTACACCCATTTTAAGAATAGAAAATAATGTAATAGCATAGAACAAATTAGTTTATGACAGAATAGAATGCAATACAATACAATCCAACCGATAACATAATATAATTATTAATCTAATATGAGATACCACAAAAATCTACCACAATATACCACAGTCTAATATCATATAGTGCTAGTCATAAAATTTACTATGATGTGATATATACTGCGATAGGACGAAAGCTTGACCATTGGGTACTCCTCCGGCGCATTATAGTATAGGTTCGAAACGGTGTATGAAATACTCCGCTAATCAGACCACGTAATGGGAGCATGCAGGCACTCCGATACTCCACAACAGGTCTCAAGACAAGAAAGGTCCAGTAGGTCAAAACTTTTGTCTTTCCGATGCCTCACCGTGACTTGTTTGTTCAGCAAATCTTGCTTGACTTGCTGCCACGTGGCTTCAAGAACACGGTCTAGCTCCGAGCTGTGCCGTGTGTTAGCTTCAAGCGTCTTTCCGACAGCAGCGTGAATTTTGTGGCCGATACCGCAAGACGTGTAAAGAAGTCATCGCTAGAATGACGGCATGGCCGTTGGCTAAGCCCGGCAACAGTTGCACTGTGGAGTTAACTTGAGCTGGATTCTGGCACCCAAGATTGACGCCGCTCTATACTCGTGGCTTCATAGAACGCAGGCCATATTCCCCCATAGCAGCCTCACAAAACGGATGCACTGGGCACTCCTCCGGCACATGAGCGTAGTATTTTTTCAGAACGGTCTTGAAAATTTGGTAGCTAGGCCACGTAATTTGAGCCTCCCGACACTCCGCTACTCCACAACAGGTATCAAGACAAGATATGTCCAGCAGGTCAACGTCTGTCCTCCCGATGGAATATGATATAACGTCATATAGTGCAAAATAAATATAGTATAATAGACTATGACAGAATAAAATGTGTATGCTTGAACATGTGCATACATACTGATAATGTATAGACGATTCTCAGCTGATCTTTATAAGTATAGCTGGGCAGAGCTTGCCGCTGCGGCTCGTTGAACCACAAAATTAAAATCAGCTCCTAGCTGTAGCTCCAGCAAAGCTTTGCAACATTGCATACACGGTCGCTCTTCTGGGTTCCATCTCAAGATATTTAGACATGCTGACGACACGCAAGGTGCAATGCTGGTTGATATAGCTATCAGAGTGCACTCCCGCTGTCTGAAGCCGAATGGGCTTTCACACTCAGCGGTGCACCGCCGAAGCCGCTTGAAGCCTGGTAGTTGGACTCTTGGGCCGATCGTCAGATCAGCCTTTTGTGGACTGCTGGCTCATGGGGCCAGCACTCGCTGAGGAGCCCGCGTCAACCGATTGCACAGCAACTGTGCTTGCGCCAAACGGTGTCCTGCTAGATGAGCTAGCGCTGGTAGCCGTCTCGGCCCCATCCCCGACGTGGGCAGGGTTGGCATCGCTGGCTGATGCGGCAGTCGCTGTAGCCACAATCCCATGTTCTCCAGTTTGCACTGTGGGGGTGTTGCTGTTGCTGCCTGATCTTGCATTGACTACAGTTTCCGCAGCATGGTTCGCGATGTGGTTCTCGACAATTTGAGGCACCACATTGGCCGGGACGTTCTGCGGTGGAGCCTGGGCTGCAGGCCCTGCAGGCCTCGCAGGCCCTGGCAGAACCCGAGGTGCAGTACCTGGCTCCACGACGTACACGTCTTTAACCCGATGGCTGAATGAGGGGAGATCTAGATTGAGTGCCGAGGACAGACGCAGCTGCTGTGCTTCCGTCATGTGGGGTCCCCGTACCGGCCGAGCCACAAAGTCTTCCGGATGACTGGCAGTCTTTGCATGCTGGCTATGCAAGTCAAGATTTCATCAGTCGCAACGCTCTTTGCATACGCCACTCTCCGGCACCTTTTCCTCGGCAGAGTGGTGAAATGACGAAGCAGCCCAGCCTCAGCCCGCGGCAGTAAGGGTAATACGACTGTGAACGGTAAGGTCCGAATAGGTCCGCTTAACTTCGCGGGCACGGCTAGGTTGGCTTTGCTTTGAGGCAGTCCGTGTCGTGCTTCTCATATTTCCCATAATATTTCCCTGAAGCCGTAGAAGTGCTCCGCAGGCTTTTTCTGGCAAAAGGACAAACTGCAGTGATGGCAGCGATCACTGCACCTCTCGTAATACAGTGAAGGTATCGCACACAATTGGCATAAGAGTAAAACTCCGCAGCCCACATTGAGAACCAGCCAGGCCGTGCCAAACCATACTATGTTTGAGATTGTCTCACGAGTGCTTCCAGTACTCCAGTGGTTCCAAGCATTCTCAAGGTTTCGTTGGCAGTGGAAGGTGTATATGATAGCCAGCTTAAGCCAAGCAATATGTCACACAGCCTCCCCTTCAGTCAATACAAACTTCATACGCATCCATCGATGGCCCTCCACACTTGCATTCTTGTTGATGCCTTTGGTGAAAACCGGAGTTAGTACTGCCGTCAAATTTTGCAGAGGAGGCCAGCGCAGCGGTAGGAACTAGCAGCATTCGTCGAAGCAAGTCTAGCACGAGGAATCACAATGATAACACGGAAATAACGGAGACTCATACACAAATAATCGTACTAGTAAAACCCTCAGCCGGTGCTGGAGAAGCCGGGTCAGACAAAGCGAACGTTTACATAAGCTGTCCGTCATGCTCCATAGGCCATCACCGGTGAAGTATGTACTGTTTTGTGAATCCTGCCAGTGGGGGGGCCTCCACTCTCGCTGAAGCCAAGCAAGCTATACCATTCTTGACTGCCCCCACTTCTTGCGACTCACTGCCCATCTTCGCGACTGCCCCCTTTCTGGCTAGTGCCCTTTCAATCACGCCCCTGTAAGTTGAGATGCTACGATACCTCGAAGAACTGGAGGGGGGAGGCGGGGGAGGGAGGTGGAGGGGGGTAAAAATAACGAGCGGAGAAGGTTGCGAGGGGGATTGTTAAGGGGAGCCCGCTGGGCCGCTACTCAACGGACAACAGTGGTAAGAAGGGGTTCAAGGGGCGAGCGTGCGCATGAGTGCGCTTCAGTTTGGGTCGAAGGCTTCTGGTACTGCTACGTGTGCTCTTCTCGACTAGAGTGTACCATGCGATGCGAGGGAAGGTGCCTTTGCCTTTCCGAACCAACAAGAATTTGGATCTCTGAGTTGCTTCTCGCAAGCTTAGGCATGCTTAGCCCCCAGCTCTGCTTTGCCCGGTGCATCACCAAATTGCTGAAGGCTGGCGCAGCCAACAAACTTGTCCTTGGTCCGAATCATGCCAAAGATTTTGGCCGAATTTTGATTAGCCGATCCCTGTTGTCCGGGATTCGGTTTTGTGCTTGCTGGCAGGTACTGCTCTACTGCAGTTCTCCGCAGATACTTGGGCCACCCTGCATCGCGCTTCCACACGAACATCTCTTGATTGTTGCATGCCTCAAGCCACACTTGAAGACAGATTAGCTTTTGACGGGCAAGCTTGCTGAGCTGCGAACACGCTCCACCTGCCGGAAATGTCGCGCAAAGAACAGAGGCTCACTGAGTTGGCAAAACCAGCGATTTCCATCGGCCGTGCCTCGTAGGTATTGCGCCGTCTGAGTAGCCCCCTCCTTGAAACTGCTACAGATGCATGCAGGCGATTGGGCCGATGATCACAAGACAAGCATGGAATGGACAGCACAGCCTCACCAGGGGCTCAATGAGTTCGAGAATACCGGAGACATCACCCGATCTCGCCAGCCTGTCACGCTTGCAGAAACTACTGGTTTGCAAGATCCTGTCTGCTGATAGCTCCTGATACCGTCGTAGAGATCCAGCGAGATCATTGTCCCACTTCCATCCGTGGTGTACAGCTCCTGGCAACAGGCATGGTGGGCGTGGCATACACTTGAGAGGCGGTATACGGCTGCACTACTATAATCTTTCCAGGAACCCTGCTTCTGCCTGAAGCAGAGCGCCACGTCGTGGGTCGATCAGATGAGCCCGGCGTGTGCCGCTGCGAAGTGCTTGCAGGAGCCTCAGCTATAGTCGTGTTGGTCTCTGAAATATACACTACTTCAATGTGTCTGTCATCTACAGGAGGCTTGTTGCAGCGACTCAGCGGGTTGACGGCATGGACGTCTGTTCCAGCTTCCCGTCGTGAAGGAGTTGGCATCAACAGACTTCAGCGAAGCTTAGGCTGAACGTGTGGATCCGACGCGGGAGACTCTGGCTTTTGGCAGGTTGGCGGGCAAGATTCGGAAGCAGTGTCCCTTAGAAGACTAAAGAGGAAGGGATCAGGGACCTGATCAAACAGATCTACACCAAAACAGGAGATAGAAAATCTGTGCCTTGGATAGCGAAACGCTGTACAGCGCCCTGTTTCATGATCAGCCATCTAACAGAATGGCATTCGGATCGATGGAACCCCGGAACTTTCTTGCAGGCACTCGCAGCGTCAGCAATGTCGCACAGCAGGCTTTCTGGCTGATCAGCCCACGTATCATAGATACTGGAGAGCATCTTCGTTGGTGTAAGACACACCAGAGCCCCTGTCGCCACTCCCGCAAAAGCTCTGCTATAACATGGCTGACATCGCCTGTGATAAACTTCCAGTTGCACCGTGTTGCACCCACACCCACCCAAAACGCAGGTGAGACTCTGAGAGCGGGAGAGTGAGGTGAGGTGAGGTGAGGTGAGGCCACGTGTGTCGAAATGTGTCGAAGTGGACGACTAGAAGCTCCGCTCGAGTCTGAAGCTGAGGGGCAGCTCCAAGTAGAAGATGACCTCTCGCGATTCTTCCTGCCGCATTGATACAGGTAAAGGGGAATGATCCATTATCCAGCGATCCAGGCATGTTAGGCGAGTTCCAGGTCGGTTCGATGCGGTGGTGAGGATCGGGGCGGCCACTGCAGACTGCGAGTACTTCTAGGAGCAGTAAATTTGACTGGCACCAGCATCTGCAAGACCCCAGATTCAGAATTGCAGCGAGTGCCTTTTCCATAAAACTGCTGCTGGTTTTCCTTGGCTTGCACATGAAGTAGTGCACCGACCAGGTGCGTCGGACCGATGATGACCGATGTGAGCCCTGCACGCATACTCCAGCAGCCTGTCCGCTTCCCCCAGCTGCATTGTGGGAATCACCTGCCAAGATGCAAGGATCTTGCTCTTCCCTCGTCTTCATCTTGCAAGTCCCACTGACCACACAGAGAAGTTTCTCTCGCTGTTCGTCGCAATTTTACCGAGTCACATTCCCTCGGGCAGTGTCCATAAGCCTCTGGCCTCAGTGTCGCGAAGCACAACACCGACATTCATCGTCACTCTCGCGTGCCAATAATCACACAAGCTGAGTCAGGCTTTGTCGAAAGCAGCCAGTTTACGTTACATATAAACGATTCCATGAAACAGCAGAGCTGCCCCGGGTGAAGAAGATCAGCTTGGTGGCTTTAAGCTCTTTGGCCACCTGGCGGCTGCCCCTTGACATGCATGGGCACGCTTTGAAGTGCCTCATATCGATAGCCACCTGAGCTGCGAGTTCCTCTGACGGGACGTAGCGGAGCTGGCTACCGGTTCCTGAAGCGGAAGCGCATGAAGAAATCATCTCACGATCACCTCGACTCCCACCTAGCAGTGACCCTGCGCCGACAGGGAGGACGCAAACGATGTCGTCCTGCATGCTCCAGGCTAGCGGCTAGCCCTGGTCTGAGCTTTTCCCTTTCGTCCTCTTGTAGGCGGCGGTGGATTTGCGCGGTGTCTATCTCAATCCTTGCTCCCAGCAATGCCTGTAGGTACATCCTTGTCCTCGACTTGGAGCCCGGCACACGGCCCAGGAGAGGACTGCTTTCCGATCCGGTGGCCTTCACAGATCAAGCACTTTCCGGGTGGCTGGTCCCCGTGTGCCGTGCTTCACGTGGACAACAGCGGGTGCCTTCCGAGGAGCTGTGGACAGCAGCTGGGAGCTGGCGAAGACCTGGTGCAGTGCTCTTGCATGGCCATGTCCGCTGCTTCCAGTCGCAGACGTCCCAGGACGGTTTCAATAGTGTCAAACAAGTCAGCATCACAGAAGTACTCTTGCGAGTAATGAAGTTTCCCGTGGGCTTCGCCTCAGAAAGCAATGCTGTTGCAGCTGGGAGACCAATCCGCACCTCCTCGCGAACCGAAACGGTACTTCTTCGGCCGGGATGCTGCAACTCGAAGGCAAACATCCTGAACCTGTCATGCTCAATTCACATCTCTGCACGGATGGTCGTGGGAGTCGAAGCTGGCGACGATTTTCCGACCATGCTCACGAGTGCTGCTTCTTCGCCGCTTCAGAGGTGCGGGAGCAGGGATGAAACCAGCCAATAAGGCCTGCACAAACCACAGGTTGCTGTGTAGCTGTGGCTGCTATGGTGCCTATGAAGTTGGTTTCTGCAGACCTGGCATCACTGGGAATGGAACCGCCTGACAAGCTGCCGAGACATCCAGGAAGGATGGGCCAAACATCGGCTCGGTCTGCTTGTCCGGATGCACCTCCCTGGCTTTCCTGGGCTCGAGTGCTCAAATAGTCTTTCCATAGATCCCACAGGCAATCTTCTCGTGGTAATTAGAAAGGGCGCTTCCGGTAGGCCGCACGAACTTCGCGCGGAGTAGCTGCGGCATTATGCCGCAATCCCAAAATCTTGCATGCCCAAGCCTTTCCGGCACAAGTCTACTCGGAATGCAAAACTACTGATTCCTTCTCCGTGCAGACATGAACAGCCTCGTCGTCTGTAAACTTTCTTCTGGTGGTATCGTCTGATTCAGCTGCCTGGCTGTAACCAATGTCGCACATCAACATGACAACGCGGATCCACTCATGTAACATCTTCCTTGATCAACTCACAATAACTCACAAAATGCGCTGAGCTTTCAAGACTGAACACCTTCAGTTACACCCGAAGAGCCACAGCGGAGCCTCGGCTACGTTCGCTTCCTTCTCCTTTCGTCTTCTGCGTCTTGGGCCCGGCTCTGCCACGGGGGCGCAACGCCATGAGACAACACCGAGGTCGCTGACCTGCGGTGTGCAGGTGCAGACAGTGCAGCCCTGCAGATGCGCATCGAAGAAAACATCCCTTGCCGTTGCCTGAACTTCCCAGCTCGACTTGGAACGTCGCGGAACCTTCGGAGTTAAGGAGCAAATGACTGATGCATGGATTTGCAACGGACATGCCCAAAAAAGGAAATGTCCACAATCATCTTGCGTTTCAAAGCCTGTAAGAGTATATGTCCTACTCATCATGCAAAAGGCTGGCGCAGACCTCGTAGCTTCCTGCTGCCAATGGCAGTCTGTCGAAAATCAACGACTCGGCACAGGGTAGTTGCACCCTCACCTTACAGGTCGCGGCGACTGTTCAGCACCCTGGCGCGACTTTGAGCATCGAGGCACCTCCAAATTGCGGGTGCAGTCCTCCAAGAGGTTGTCGGACATCTTGAGCACGGGCCGAATTTCCGCTTCCTTGTCAGCTGGCCTGACAGGGGAGGAGCTGAAGATGTAAAACCCGCTGCAAGCCCCCTCATACTTCTTGCCACGTCGCAGGTCAACATGGGACACGATCGCGGCAGCACTGCAGCGAGTGAAGCGGCAACGGTGCCTCGGGTCGTGCGCATCTCGCAAAGCCATGCAAGCCCTGATCCGAAATGCTCCGCCAGTAACAACGTGCGGTTGCGAAACATCGCTGTGCTCTGGGACTGGCACACTTCCACGGCAAAGTTGCCATTGATGCTGACTCCGATGACAGAATCCTCAAAATACCGGAATGGGCTGGTGGTCCAAACTCAAACATTTTTGGGATTCGGCACTGCAAGTGCTGAATGACGGGTACCTTCATTGCACACCGGCCTAGCTGCATCCCGATGCTTCATGCTGCCAAGTAGCCACCACCTCAAGGCCCTCCAGCCGAACCGGGCCTTGTGCAGCAAGGGCCACTCGTCCACCTTCGACGTTCTACCGACAGATTTAAGACACTTCGTACCCGCCTCGAGCACTGTCTGCCCCCGTGTAGTGCCATACTAGTAGTTTGGGAAGGTTCCTTCGTTCAAGGAGCTGATGAAGGATGCAGACAATGCTTCGACGACCTGTTGGGTTGGAAAGCTTGCTGGTCTCGGAGTTTCATGCGGGTCTTAACCGAAACAGGTACAGTACAGGCCTTGGACTCTGCAGCGCCGCACGGCATCAGCCCCCCGGGTGCCGATTTCAATGCTCTGCGCCTGCACATCTGCGATTCCGCAATGGGGTATACGGTATACGTTTTCTTTCGGTTTCGAAACCCAAAACCACTGCAGTACCTGCTTACCTATCTTCCGACCCAGCTGCCCTACATATTACTCTGTCCGCCTCTCGCTGACTCTCGCTCAATGCGAAACCGATCGATCTCGCTTCTCAAGAGTCTCTCTCTCTCTCTCTCCTGGGCATGGGGGACTGTCAAATCCCCCGGGCATCATGCCCACCCAACTTTGTTAGTTGGGTACAAGGGAGTGAGGTACGAGCATAAATCACCGAGAAGGCTAAGGCTATGAAGTTACGGTAACGTAACAAGGTGATTGTATGCTCTCAAAGACACGTGCAGGCTGCAATCGCGGAATCCCCCGATTTTAAGGCAAAAGTATGAGG